GGGCCGACGGGCTTTTCAAATTGCCGGGACAGCACTTCTTGAGCTGTTAAATAAAGGGGCCAAGCTCCAAGCCCCATAGCGGCCACAAACTCTCTATAACCCAACTCTAAGCCTGTGTAAGGGTTTACGACTACGCGCAGAAGAAAGTGTGTCGCAACACATGTGACGTCTATCAACGGGTTCTGCCTTGTTTATTGAACTTAACTAAGAAGAATACGACATACGTGTGTCGCGATTATCAATATCCACGCTTGCGCGCCTCTGCTCGCGCCTTCGCGCGCTCCACCTTTAACTTTTCCTGCTCCGCCCTCAATGCAGCCTCGTAGACTTGTAGCACTCGCGCCTCATCCTCAGTCAAGCAGTCACGACCGCATACCCTGGCGACATCGAAAACCAGCCGGCCTTCCCTTCTAGCTGCGTTGTTCTGAAGCACCCGCAACACATCCTCAAGCATCTCCTGGAGACAAGTGATACCTGCTAACACATCAGCTATCGCCGCAACTGGCTGAGCAGCAGGAACATATTGCATAGGCGTCAAGCCAGTCAGCAGGCGAGGCATGCGGAGAATATATTCGCCTGCTCTAGCTGCCCGGTTGAAAGGCGCCGTTTCATCTGCCCTGTCTGCCCTTGGGGCTCTCCACCACTCTTGGTCGTTCACCGAAGCGAGCCCGCTCGCCTTGTACAGTGGGAGATACAAGTCATCGAACCGTCGGAGTTCCTCCAGTGACGGTAAGGCGTCTTTGACCCCCGGCTCATCCACAAAGCCCGGATAGTAGGAGTGCAAGTAGCCGAAGTCGACCAAGTCTTGCGCGCCACAGCTCGCACTGAATCGAAATTGAGTGAGACGTCTTGTCAATTCCATGGGTTTAGCGCCGTGCAGTAAGGATATGTATCCGCTCAAGAGGACAGCGCGAGCCTGGCATAGCCGATCGGACAGTGAGCTTTTCCATACAAAACAGGTGCTCTAGCGCACCATTTCCCCTCGCATGCCATGTATGACTGCGACGTCCGACATTTCTGTGAGCGCGCGCGAGATATCTTGTCGGCGGTATGCCCATATTCGATATTCAGCTTGCATGACTTTCTGTCACCGTTCAGCATGCGCTTCTCCTCTAATTGACGCACGCACAAATTTGGCTATTTTTTCAGGTGGTATGAACGACGGGCCGTTCTGGATAAGAGAGCGGGAGTTGATGATCTCGCGAGTGGCGTCATAATCCTCGACGGCAATATCGTAATAATCCGGAAGTGACATGAGTGTACTAGGCACTCAGAAGGCAGGTGGTGGAGGCAGGGAAAGGAGCGCGTGCGTGCGCCGCCCGCTGAGAGAACTTTAATCCACGGCACGTGGTGCCACTGGCTGGCCTCGACCCGCGGGTCACCCGTGAAACAGCAGGTCCACGCTTGCCCCCCAGAGGCTGTGAGTTTCCCATCTCCGTTAGGAAAAAATGGGCTACGCTCAAAGGGCTGGAACAGCGAGTTGCTGGGGTGCAAGTGAGCATTTGACCCAGAGCCGGCGGCTTCCGTCAGTCACAAGCGTTCGCCGGCTCGCGATCGGCCGTCTTCGCTCCCAGGGTCCGGTACAATATTTTCCCCCCGGGTTCTGCACCCGTACATTTTGCCTACAAGCGGAGACCTAGCTTTTTTGCGCTCTCACAAAGGTCCGCGGGGGGGCTGGCTAAGTAAAGTCGAGGAGCGCGCCGCCCTCCACGGCAGCAGACCGGAACTCGACCGCCACAGCAGCTCCCCTCACTCCACTTGACATTTTTGGCTTCATATTACGAGACTAGTCAAAAACATTAAGTGAGAACGTATCTCGCGGCGGTCGGGGCTACCAAAATACAAACGCAAGACTTCCGAGTTCCGGCGCCGCCTAATGACGGGGCGACATTCCCGAGTCAACCCGACCTCGACTCAGGCCTTCAAGGCGCGAAGGAGAAGAAAGTTATATGCTTAGAGATGGGGGTTCTCTGGCGGTTTTAGACATCGTTGCTACGCACCTTAAGTGACACGTGCGGAACATGAACGTTCATGCGTCGAACGCCGCGAACGCCCGGCCGCGAGAAGCGGGGTCGCACCTTGCCCTCGCACGACGCTTGTCAAAACTTGCTATCCACGTCTGCGGAAGCCAACCCGTAAGCCTCCGCGTGTGATTTCTACTCGTATCCCATCCCAATTGGCGAGCAGAGGAGACGAACGGGCGAAGGACGAAAGGACGGGCCTATCCCCGCCCCAATATCAATCGCTCGCCAGAAGGCCGCTAGGCCTTGCCGCGCATACTACCGGATAATTTATCCCCGTCTCATACATAAAACTTCCGCGCAGTGAGCAGCAACGGGAGACTTCGTAGGTGCGCGTCCGGTAGACGACGAAGTCGGGCTGCCTATCTCGCGTAGCGCCCGTCCTTCCGCGGAGTGACATGCAAAGGGAAGCGAATCGTCCGCTTGCCTCTGTTTATGCCTCGCATACGCTGCGCAAGGGAGCAAGGTACGGTTGAAGCATTTGAACCCGCTAATGAGATTGAAGAACTAAGTGGACATGGACGGGAAGGGAGATCCGATAAGCGGGGTTCAGAAGCGGCCCCAGTCGGCCCTGCCCAGCACTTAGCTGCGACACCGGTAGAGTCTCAGGCCGCACCAATCATATAACTGCATGGACACCTGCGGTAACTTCAATACGCGTCAGCCGAAGATCGAACGCCTGATCCGGAGAAAGAGGACGGGAAATGAGCGAACAGACATCCGGGTGATGAAAAGCCGCTTATAGACTTACATCCTCGACGTCCCTTGTAATATCCACCTACTCCCATCAACTGTCTATGGATCATATGACAATATCCAACGCAAGGGGCTACCTCCGTTCTTTACTAGCACGCCCGGTGTCTCAGCTACTGTACTCGCGAGTTGAGCTCGCAGGGCGCTCCTCACTTATACTCCACGTCGTCCGGCTCCAGCTGCTTGCAAAACAATAAGCTGCCCTCGAAGGTCCTACACAGACATGTACAGAGCTAAGCACCACTTCGCGCACCCTCTCACGCGGAAATAACATGAAGCACTTACGCGGCCCATCCGTGTGGAACCCGGCCTTAACGAACAAAGATCTTTGTTCCCTTTTTGGAAGGCGTTTCGGCACGATGAGGTCGAGAGGTACATGTCGCAATGGCCGGATACTTTGCGCAAGATGAAGGGCTCGCAACGCCGCTCGAGTGAGAAATTTGAATCCATGCCTAGGCCACTCGCCGCGCCGGGCGTGAAGCAAAGCGATGCTAAGCCGTCTACGTGTGGGACCCCAGGCGACCTATTACTTTGCAAGCGGTGTAAATTTCGCTGCAACCGCAAGCAAGTTCCGGCGGATTGCGCCCACACAGTGCATGAGCGCTTGAGCGCGAGCCTTGCGGGGCTACTCGTACTCAGGGCTTGGCGTAGAACGCCGATCGCGCCGTTGAGTGCAGCGGAGCAGAGTGGGGTTTGATTTCACCCCGCCTTGGTTACTCGGGGTCAGCGCCGCTCCTCGATATCTCCGCATGAGCGGAACGTTGAACTCCACTCGCGGCAACACTAGTCGACGGGTCTGCCGGAACGCGCTCCCACGAGCCTGCGCGCCCCGACTCGACATAACATGCGTAACGCCTTATCCCTATCACACGCGTTTCTCAAAGGCGCCGAAACGCCCACTAGAAGCTCTCCTCAACGTTCCCATTGATGATTAGCTGTGAATCCGAAGCATAAGCCAGAATTTCGAGTGCGAGGCCATTTCGAGCCGGCCGCCAGCCG